CCGGAGAGCCTCCAAACAACGTCCCCCATACACAACCAAAATTAAAGAGCTTCACGAAAAATACAATATTTTACCACTGAACATAAGAACATACAGCCAAGCACAGGCAGTATGGTACAAACTAGAAGCAATGGAAGACGAAATATACCATCGACTAAAAACAGAGGACACCAGAAGATCACACAGCTGGTGGCCAAAAAGCCTTCTCCATAACCCTCAAGAGCCAGAACTATTGTACACTAAATAGTACACAAAAGATGAGAGTATTCTACCAGTTACACAAGGACCTAGCAGACCTCTCCAACTTACACAATTATACACCACAGCATAAATAACTTCTTGACGCCAATAAGATAAAAGATGAGAGTTTTCTACTAGTTACACAAGGACCTAGTAAACCTCTCCAACTAACACAATAACAAACAACCCCTTGCTAGCCAGTTTAGCCTCCCCCCCTGTTCCCAAGAGCTCAGGCGACCTCTTAGTGCGGCCTTCTCCACAGCCAATCAAATCGTCTTTGCTAGGTGGATAGCCCACCTGCTCTTATTCTCTCCTACTTTACTCCCGTTTCATAACTTTCCTTCTACCTTACCTCTTCTCTCCCTTCCCATGGCAAGCCATTGCCATTTTATCTCCATTATCATCATCATCATGGTACCGCTCTACCACCAGCTCCCCCGTCCTTTGCTCTTATTTTTTCGCCCCTCAGGCCCCGTTGCGGGTCGATGACCTGTGCCCGGGTGGGCTATTCCCCGTAAAAAAAAAAGGAAAAAAGATATGGACATTCAACTGAGTAGTGCCCTCTGAGATGTTTATATTTCCCATTTAGGTCACCCCTTGCCCGTCTGAAGTATAAGCTAGGCAGTGGCAGGCGCTCTAATGACTGTGGATAACCGAGGTGCCGTAGGGCAGGCACCAGCCTGGTGGACCTCTTCTGGTCATTTTCAATCAACTGACAGTCTCTAGCATATCTCGGGAACTACTCCGGCTACCCTTCACTCTTGAAGATCCTAGCAAGGGACGGACAGTAAAGATATCTGAACGACTTTTTTATAAGACCTATTATAATTTAGTTGCCTGAGAACTTCAGTTCATTGTCAAGATACACACCTAGGTCCTTCTCACATTCACAGTCTCAAATAGTGCAGTTTCTTCATCCCGTTGGGACATGTGATACTCTTCCTTAAAGTTGGTACGAACCAAGTGCTTCCTCTTACACTTCGTGACATTTGAATCATAGCAACCATTTCTTCAACCACTCTTGAAGCTCAGAAATCTTTCTGCAGCTCTTCGCAATCTGTTTGGTTCTTTATTTCCTTAAATAACTTGGCATCGTCCGCAAACATTTGCATGGGTTAACATGACGATTTCGTACCATTAATCACCACACACACACACATTGCTTGCGATCGTGCAGAAAGTTTCCGATCCTTTCCCATCCACGCTAAGATACTTCCTCCTGACCCTGATAAGCACGTTACAACTGTACCACCGACATGTAATCTATTGATGTGTTATTATGTCACTTTTATTAAAATTGCCTTTATTACCCTATATAAAAAAGGATTGTCTATCTACAACTGATACTAACGTAGTTCATACTAAAATTGTTGTCAGTCCTGAATAATGTCGCCCCGCTGACGATCTTTGTACCGACCAAGCTGCACGGTAGAGTTAAAGAAGTTACAGGTAACTGCCAAATTCCAAAGCAACGACCTTGTTTTAGTTTCTTATATTCATCTTGAAAACAATTAATTGCTGCACAACTTGAATTCTTACAGTTAATATAAGAATGAATGCTTATACGTCTGGCACCATGTAGGCCTCACAACGAGTTATGACGCCATGCATTCTACAGTCAGTCCAGCCAGACCAGTCAGCGTTTTCCTCAAACCACCAGTGTGTCAAGGTCCAGTGACAAGTGAAGACGGTAGAATAAAGCACCAAAGGATTTTTAATTTGTGTGGGTGAGAGAGTCACAAAACTGTAAAATAGAAAATTAAGATAAGTTATAAAAATAATTTAAATTGTACACCCACCAAAATATTATTCGGCACTCGGGTGCATTTTGGTGGGTGTACATGTATGTATCGTGCATGTATACATGTGTGTGTAATAATAATAATAATAATAATTAACGGTTTATTGAAAGAACTTGGCAGCCAGAAGGCTGAAAATATACAGTTACATATTTGGGGAATGGGTTTCGAATTACAAATAATATACAAGTAATATAAGTGATATAAATAAGATATATAATAACTAGATGGGGAAAAGCTCAAACTACAGTGCATTTCAACATAGTGACAGTGCAAGGAGTAGTGTTTACTGGGTGTGTGTGTGTGTACCAGAATCATGTACAACCACTAAAAATTATTCTGCATTCTTACGGCGTGATACAATATGACACGGGTGGCGAATAATATTTTAGTGGGTCACATTATTTAAGGCGTTTTAAGAAGCACGGAATAGCTAACGCGTTATCTTTCCCGGACTGTCATTAAAAATACGACGACATTGTACTGCGTCTTGGGAATAACTGTTGCGCAACACAATCTTCAGAAAATAAAATTAGGAGAATGTTATTTGGACAATACGGAAAGAAATAGTGAAGAAAATATATAGAAAATTATGGAAAGAAAGACAAAAAAGGTAAAAAGTCATCCAGTCAACAATAAATAAGAATAACAAAAAATCGGCGCCGTTGTAAAGGTTGGTGGTCCGAACTCCGGAGTGGAAGCTTGAAACCACACTACGTACGTTATCGTCTCGTTCTCATCTCGCTGCTACATTGTTTACAGCTGTTCGCAAACATAAACACGTGTAGTGGATTCCTCCCTTACAAGCACCCAACCTTCTCGAACCCCCAGCCTACGCCTCCAGCGCCGCCCACGGAGCGGGGGTCAACTATCTACCCACGCCTACCCCCGCCTTATATGGCTTGACACCGCTGTGACCATCTTCCTTCATTCCTCCTTTCCCTACAAAAAAAAACAAAAAAAAAACATGCTCTTTCTACACAGTGCCACCAGCAAGCAACACCTCCGCCGCTGCCTGGCGGCTGCCGTTCCCGCCAGCGACCTTGGCGTCCCTCAGCGTGTCCCCCTACTCAAATACATCCAATACATGCACATTGTAAGTTTCATTTCTCCATCCCATCCTGAGTGTGAACCCAATATCCCATAACCCTGTGGGGTTAAGAGATATTGGTTCACACTCAGGATGGGATGGAGAAAGGAAACTCACAATGTGCTCTCTGTATACATGTTGTATTGGATGTACAATGCAGCTTGTTGCTGGGTAGGTAGCATGGTAATAAGCGTTGAGTAGAGAGAGCTGGGTGGTGAGGGTGCCCAGAGGAGGACCAGCTTGTGGGTCGACATGGTCGCCGGCTGGAGCTGGAGCCGCCAGGCAGGAGAGGAGGAGGTGTTGCTTGCTGGTAGCCTTGGGTAAAAAGAGACAGGTCACCACGAGATGAGGTCTTATATAGCGGAGGTAGGCGTGGCTTAATAGTTGACCTCAGTCATGTAAGGTGGCGCTGGTTGCTGACCTAGATAACGAGGCCTACACTGGGGAATTCGCGCGGTCGGCTCGTCAGCGACAAACATCGTTTGTAGGGGAGGAATCCACTACAATACTCCCCCTTCCCTCCAGGCGGTGTAGGAGACTTGTTGTCTGCAGGGTTGCATGCCACATGTGAGGCAGAACGGCGAGGGCGTGGATGAGCCGGCCGGTACGGGAGACGACTGTCTAGATACACGAGATCTGTGGGAGAAGAGAGGGAGAAGGAGGGTTGTGGAGGCGATGGATATTGTGCTTCCCTCGCAGCAGGTACAGAGTCCTCAGATGTGCGTGCTGGGGTGTGTGGGTCTAGGTCAGGAGCAGGGGCTGCGTCAGAAAAACATGTAACAAATGAGTTGAATGAAATAATAAAGAGATTAATTGGCATTTCTCCTCTTCCCTTTGGTCACGACAATTTAATTCAAAGCCTTATCCTTGCGCATATCCAGGCGAACTGTATAGTATGCTTGAAGCATAAATGGTCTCGTTTCATGATGGAAAAATCACCCAAATGAAATGAAAGGCAGATACAGAAACGAAAATCACCCCAAAACCACTTGCTGAGATTCAATGTCACGAAGTGTAAGAGGATGCACCTGGGGCGTACCAACGGTAAGGAGGCGTATCATATGTCCCAACGGGATGAAGAAACTGCACTAGTTGAGACTGTGTGAGAAGGACCTAGGTGTGTATGTTGACAATGAGCTGAAGTTCTCGGGCCACTGTGAGAAGAAGGTAAATCAGGCGAATAAATTATTGGGTCTTATAAGAAGGTCGTTCAGATATCTAGACGGTCCGTCCCTCGTAACGATCTTCAGGAGTGAAGTGCTTCCTCATCTGGAGTACAGTCACCCCATCTGGTCCCCGAGATATGCTAGGGACTGTCAGTTCGTTGAAAATGTTCAAAGGAGGGCCACCAAACTGGTGCCTGCACTTCAGCACCTCAGCTACCCTGACGGGTTGGAGCGTCTGAACTTGCCTAGCTTATACTACAGACGGGCAAGGGGCGACCTAATTAAGGTGTATAAGCATCTTAAGGGGCATTACTCAGTTGAGTGTCCTTACTTGGAGCTGGCGGACGCTCGCCCCACAAGGGGTCACAGCTCAAGATTGAAGAAGCCGCAGGTCCAGAAAACTGTGAGGCAAACTTTTTCGGAGTGAGGGTTGTAAACGCTTGGAACAATCTACCAGAAAGTGTTGTGACGGCACCGACTGTGAGCTCTTTCAAGACAAGACTTGACCAACACTGGAGCGGGTTCAGGTACATTCAGGAGCCGGTGCATGCCCAGTACTTGCCAACCCTGCGTAACAGACGTGACCGATCGCCCAAGCGGCTAACGAGCCGATCTTTTGGTGAAGAGGTTAAAAGAAAAGGAAAAGTAATCAGAGACGTGACCGATCGCCCAAGCGGCTAACGATCTGGTCATTGGTGAAGAGGATAAAAGTAAAATAATTTGGGTAAATATTTTATTTATTTGCCTACAAAGGATGTAGAGACGTGAAATTACTGCCATAGGATCAGTGTTCGCAGCGTTTTTATCCTGTTATTTCCCTCTTCTTTCAAGCCCTGCCCACTAACAAGTAATTTGTGATTGAAGAATAGGCTACAGAGAAAAAAAATACAAATCTAGTTTCGATTTTATTACCGAGTGTCATCTAAACATCAGCACCTGAAAATTTGGTGTGATTGTACAAAAGTCTTTCTGGTACTGTACTAACAGTCTTCTCCACCTTTACCCTTAGTTTTAATAAAGTGATTAACGAAATGATACTGGAATATTGGGTAATGGTTAAAGTCACTGGCGTAGATTTGTGATTGAATACAGGATGACTTTCATTACTAACACAATCTTGTCAGTGATCTACCCAGAATATAACTGGTCGCCCACCCCAAGATTAACATGAGTAATGCGTCGTCGAAACTGTTTGACAAACAACACATACAGGTACTATTAGCAACAACCTAGCAAACTGGAATGCTTCATTGCAGACATTTCTAAGCAAGTAAGAAATTATTGAAAAAAACACCATGTTCTTGTTGCTTCTTGTTTATCACATTTTCATGTTTATATAAAAGTAAACCCTTAATAACTCGGATTATATATACTGTATAAGGCTCTAACTATTCCGAGTTATCAAATTTACCAAATTATCAAGGCACTTTCCTCCTGGTGTTTCCTCCTACCTCAATACCAAACTTTTTGGCCGAAATAACATGCCCAAAAAATAATTACCAGTCACTACAGGTAAAGGATAAGGTTAATTTCCTCCTACTAGGCCTTGGTGATGGTGCAGAAGCCATATCAATGTGGGTGGAATAATGCTTTGCATAAAATATATGAAAATAAGTACAGTAGAGCGACTGCGGTTAAGTATCCTCTCACTAGGCCTACTGACTCATAAGCGAATGGCTGACAGAAATTCCTCCGACGTATCCCGCGTGGGTTGCACGTGTTATGCCATTCCGAGATTGTGTCATTATATCTCGGAATATTGCCACTCCGAGTTATATCAAATTACATGTATCAAAGGTTTACTGTGTACACCATCTAATACCATTAAATATAAAAATAGCTATGATCAAAATGCACTGGCATTACCCATGAAGATTTACAGTAATTAGGCTTTGGTGAACTAAGATCATCTAAGTAGAACCATACCAGCTAAACTAGCTGGGGATATTTCAGGTTGACACTACCAAAATAAAAGAATCAGCCTTTGAATTGTACAGGGTTCATACAATGAAATAACTATATTGAGACACTTGATTTTTTTAATAAAATTTGTGTGTAGAATTTGTGTATTTTTAATTTTAATATTAATTATATGTATGTATATATATATATATATATATATATATATATATATATATATATATATATATATATATATATATATATATATATATATATATATATATATATATATTGTATATTTTATCATTCCACAGACATCTTGGTTAAGTAGCAGTGGAAAAATCAGCCAGACAGCCTCCCATCACTGATGAATATGATTCCTCCTCTGACAGCGGCTTTGTGCCTCGGCTTCCTGTCCACTGTTTGTTGTGACTCTCCCACAAAAGACTCATTCTCACAGGAAGTGAAGGGATGGAGGTGCTGCCAGGAGGATCGAGCTCGGTACCACAGTGGATGCCTGTCCAGTGAACTGGACCCAAGCTTCACACCACCACTGAATTACTCTGAAGCATCACCCAGTTTAGTAGTATGGACTCCCCACTCTCTGAAGTGTCCCTGGGGCTTCAAACTTAGGTACTATGATACAAGCAAACTGGAGAAACTGATTTTAAAGGAGGATGGAGTCCATCTGCAGTATTGGGAATTTATTTTGAAGACTACCAATGATTTTTGTGTGGAAAAGTTTCCCAGTGGTGAATATTATGCTGCTACTTGCCAGCCAGACCTGGACATAGTAAGTTGTTTTGTTGTGATTAGTTATTTTTATTACACTGTACTGTGCCACAGTCAGTGCCGGATTTAGACCTGTGGAGGCCCATGGGCAGCCTCTTTGTGGAGGCCCCCCTCATTATAACTACACAAGAGGGTGGGGTGGCAAGTGAAGCGAGCCTAAACATCTGGAAGTTCCGGGGAGCGCTGTAAGCCCCCCGGGAAAATTTTGAAATTTGAACACTTCTTTGGAGAATTTTGAAGCCATATGCAGTTATATTGAGGAAATTAGAACATTGAGAAATTATTAATTAACTGTATATCTATTGATAGTGTACAAATTCCCAACACACACACACACACACAACAGTGAGACATGACTGGAGTCATTCATGTAGTTTCAAGTCGACCAGCCCTTATATAGCTACTACCGCACATGTGGAGACCCCCAGATTGTGGAGGCCCCCAGATTGTGGAGGCCCCTGGGCAGCTGCCCACTTTGCCCACTCCTGAATCCGGCCCTGGCCACAGTACAGTACAGTATGTATATGTTCATGCCCCATCTAGTGTACTACAAAAACCTATGCATATAGCATATAGAACACAAAAAGGTAAAGATTCGTTTTATGTCAAACAAGGAACTTCATAGTTCTACTGTATTTATTTAGGGAGAAAGCAAAAAAAATATATTCTGTTAAGTTTCCTTCACATATTATATTTTTCGAGTACTGTATTTTAACCAGTGTTACCAACAATATTATTTGTTCAAAGTGTGGGGTAAAATACAAAAACACCAAACAACCCTTTGAAAACCTAATCTATAAAATTCTTAAAACTATAAAAAACTTACCTTATTCGTGTCTTCGGTGTTTAGTATGTGATGGTGTTATTTTCGGTGCTCAGATGAAGAGGGATCCATAAATTCCAAAGCGATTCTCAACCATTTCATAGGTTAGGAAACGTTAGGTAAGGTTTTCAATGGGTTATTTGGTGTTATTTATAGTATTTTACCCCACATTTTCCCTCTACTTCAAAACCCTGCTCACTTTGAACATCCAATATTTTTTTTTTTTTATATCGGTTAAACTTTTCGAAAAATGTACATTTGTGACGGAAACATAATAGAATAAACTTTGTTTCTTCTTCTCTTTATATAAATAGAAATATGAAGTTCCTTGTTCGACCTAAAACGAATCTTTACCTACAAAAGGTATTCAAATTTCTATCTATTTTCTTGCTTCGTTTATGTTGTATGTACTGTGCTGTATTGCCTCATGTATTTTAGCAAAGATAAGAATAGCACTTCTATATAATGTACAGTATATGTAAGCTTGTTGAAGATATTCTCTTTCGAACTTCTAAAGTAAAACTCTTTAGAAGATCAATCAGGAAGTCATTCTTCAAATCACCTGACTTCTAATTTTTCTGTAATAATCAAATAAAGAAACCATTACCTGAATTGCTCACTGATCTATTACCTAAAGTATAAGGATCAAATCAAACACAAGCTGTCGTTAGTGCATGCAAAATGGGCCTTCATTTTTTTATATGCTGAATCTGGGCCCAATGGAAGTATAAAAAAATGCCAAAACAATAATAACATGGAATTAATGTGTGAAATATAAGCAGGGTGTTTCAGAAATATGTTTCATAATTCAGGGGGTGTATTATTGAGACAAGGTTATATGACTCCATAACCCGTTACGACCCTAGGGTAGATCGTTACATAAACACAAAATTACTTAAGTCCTTCAAATTAAACAGTTTATTATTATATTCTTAATCCTAAGTTCTCCCAACAAAGGTCAAGTTAACAGGTCAAAATCTAAACAAGTCAATAAAAATATGAACATTTATTAACTTATTCCGACCACCACATGCATACAGTACAGTAGCTAAAACAACTATCAGTGCATACTTTGTGGGAAACAATATGAGACCATGGACGATAAATTTTGGTATATGAGCGCTGTCACTAGTCACACGTAAAATTTCGGAGCATATCGAACCCCCACCTGCACAGATAGTTGTTTTAGCTACTGTACATAAAATAAAACAAATAACATTAATAATCCGACAAGACGTTTGGAAGTGGCTGCATAAGGACTGAAGGTCCATCAAGATCACACAAAATCAATATCAAGCAAAACAAATCTCAAAAGTCAAATGCCAACTCCCAGAACACCAGAGAGAGAGAGAGAGAGAAAGCGAGAGAGAGAGCTTATTACTTAACTTAAAGACAGCTGTGCCTAGACTCATCAGAGTGTAAATTGCTACCACCAAGCGTGGGTACTCACCGTGTGGCAGCACACTTATTCCGTTGGATGCGGTTTGTACGGTAAATATCTTCCATCATGTACTCTTCAACTCTCGAGCCCAGCTCTTGCATTTAATGCCACCGCCTCCCTTTCTTCATGCTACTGTAGTGGATCTCTCCCCTACAACAGCGTAGCAGCATTCCAATGCGACAGTATCCTAGCAACCGGCGAGCTTCTCACGGGGGTCGCCACCTGCGACGCTTGCCCTAGCAACTGAGTCCAGCAAACGGCGAGTACCCACGGGTTTACTTCCGGCTGCTGTGTATATAAGCTCTCAGTCTCTCCATTGAGATGCATTCTACCCTACGTTCCTGAACACGCAACACCTCCTCCGAGCAAGCTCCTCGCTGTCCAGCTCTCATTCAACCTGGAGGACAGCAACACACAACATCTCCTCTAACGAAGCTCCTGCACAGATACCTCCTAAAACACGCTACTCACCGAACGTGTCTTCTGAGCAAGCTTCTCACCACACAGCATCTCCAGCACCAGACTGTCTTGTATATAATATATTTGTATAAGAAAACTACCACCTAGAGTTTCCATCCATCCCATCCTGAGTGCTAGACAACATAACGTCACGTAACCCTACAAATGGTGACCCCCGGAGATTCGCACTCACACAGGATGGAGGAGAAACAGATCACTCTCCCAGTCTTCAATCACAACATTGAAGACTGGCTTATCCACACAGAGACAGCTCTCATCGGCTCTACAGCTACTGTCTCTACACCGCAGGTTAGACACCCTAGAGCAGCACTGCATCCCTAAGCAGACACCATCTCCTCTTCCTGCCCCAAGCACCACGTCCTACCTACCCCAACACACCCGTCCTGCCTCAGACGCCGCCCCCGGCCCAGCAGTACCCCCTGCCACTGTGCTGGACCCTCCTCCTAACGCGGACCCTCCTCCGCTCCTGCCTGGCAGCCCCTGCTCCTGACGCGGCCCATGCGCCTGAGGCGGCCCCACACACCCTTTTTTTTTCCCTCAGTTACTCCCTGCTACTGTCCTGCACCCTGCTGCTGTCGTGGACCCTGCTGCTGTCATGCACCCAGCTGCTGTCATAGACCCTCTTCCTGATGCAGCCCCTGCTCCTGACCCGGACCCACACACCCCAGCAAGCACATCTGAGGACTCTGTACCTGCCACGAGGGAAGCACAACATTCATCGCCTCCACAACCCTCCTTTTCCCTCTCTTCTCCCACAGATCTTGTGTATCTAGACAGAGTCGTCTCCCGCAGCGGCCAACTGATCCACACCCCTGCCTGTTATGTCTCTCATGTGAGATACAACCCTGCAGACAACAAGTCTCCTGCAGCGCCTGGAGGGGAGGGGGAGTATTGTAGTGGATCTCTCCCCTACAACAGCATAGCCGCATTCCAATGCAACAGTATCCTAGCAACCGGCGAGCTTCTCACGGGGGTCGCCACCTGCGACGCTTGCCCTAGCAATGGAGTCCAGCAACCGACGAGTTTCCACGGGTTTACTTCCGGCTGCTGTGTATATAAGCTCTCAGTCTCTCCTTTGAGATGCATTCTACCCTACGTTCCTGAACACGCAACACCTCCTCCGAGCAAGCTCCTCGCTGTCCAGCTCTCATTCAACCTGGAGGACAGCAACACACAACATCTCCTCTAACGAAGCTCCTGCACAGATACCTCCTAAAACACGTTACTCACCGAACATGTCTTCTGAGCAAGCTTCTCACCACACGGCATCTCCAGCACCAGACTGTCTTGTATATAATTATTTGTATAAGAAAACTACCACCTAGAGTTTCCATCCATCCCATCCTAAGTGCTAGACAACATAACGTCACGTAACCCTACAAATGGTGACCCCCGGAGATTCGCACTCACACAGGATGGAGGAGAAACCTCTCACGTAACCCTACACTACTTTATCACCAAACTACCCACTTGACCGTTACCACTTACTGTACTTTATATAGGGCTTGATATTTTATATTTTATGCATAGATCTGTTGTAATCCTCCCCTACCCAATTTTGTGGTATAACTCTAGAACTATGAGGTATTGACACTATGGTCATGGAGTCATTTATCCTTATGTATGTCTCAGGAATACACCCACGAATTATGAAAAGTATTTCTGAAACAGCCTTAATGGTTAACTCTTTTCTACTGGCTACACTTGCTGCATTGTCTTACATGATTGATCTATTCAGTGTCACTACAGTAACAGATTAGGTTACTATATATTTTAAGAAAAGCCTTGAAATCTATACATTGTTAGGATTATTCTAGCAAACACATTGCCAATGAGAGAATATTTTGCAGTGCTCAGCAATATTTTTGTTAAATGTATCTCAATGTGATGAATAGAAAAAAGGTAGATACAGGTATATTGAGATCATGATAAATTTTGTTTTATATCAACAGATATGTGGTAATGCAACATGTATTCCTAAGTGCTGTGGTAAAGGAGAGAGATTGTCATATGATATTAGAGAATGTGTGTCAACAGAAAATTGGAGTCTCTCATTGAAATATCAAACCATAGGTGGTAGTCCAGCTAAAGGCCCATCTGATGAACTGGTTGTCAGTGTGGAACTTGACTGCGAGACAATTACAAAACTTCATCCTGAGGAAGACCCTGCACACAAATATTACCTTCTTCCAAATGGTGATATATATGAGTTAGAAACTAGTGAAAGACACAACCCTAAAACCTATTGCTTCGAATATGTTGAAGAGTGTAAGTACCTTTATTGTAACTCTGAAATATTATTGGTGCATAGTACTTTTCATGTCTAGATTTATATGAATAATTATCTCATTTCTTCTTTATAGATGTAGTACTTTTCACATCTTTGATATAATTTGTGGCCTTTGCTTGGATATGAGGCACAAGCATCTGTTTTATTTTCACACATTTCGCCCACTTTTTATCGTTTTCCTTACATACCGCTAAATGCAGTTTGTGTTTTTAGACTTTTATCTGAATTGTGCAGTGATCATGTGTAAATTAATTTGTACATAAGACAAATTACTAATAATGGAACAATTATTTCATTGGATTATATTTCACCTTCGTAAAGTTACATTATATAAATAAAATTAAATTTACCCCTCTAAAGTCTTATGTATTTTCTCCCCAGGGTCTGCCCAAGTGGTGTTTGTGTGTCGGGAACCTCCTTCTAAAACCCTGAAAGTAAAGACTTACTTGCAGGCTGTTGGCACGATGATATCTGCCATATTTCTCATAATAACAGTTGTGTTTCACCTATGCATCCCAGAACTACGTGACATGCAAGCCCTCTGTCTTCTGTGTCATATGTCATCACTTACTGTTGCAGTTGTGGCATTGTTCATTTCTTATGTATTTACTAATTATATGACACTCCCTCACTGCATCATCAATGGTAAATTCATAAAAAAGGTTTATTGAATCATGTACAGTATTCCCTTAAAGCTCGCGGTTTTAAACCTTGCGCCCCTCGGAAACTCGTGGATTAAAAAAAACTCTTATTCAGCATCTTGACCAAGGAATAATTGCTGTTTTCAAGTCATATTACCTCAGTCACAGTATTTCCAAGATTAAGGGCAGTGAACATCATCGCCATCACCACCATCATCAACTTTATAGTCATCAACTTCATAATCATCATAAACATTATTCACAATACAGAGGCAAGAGGTGAATTTTCAGAGGATAATGGGGCAGGGGGAGGGTTGGCAGGGTGTCATGAGGCAGGGGGAAGAGTTGCCATGGGGTCATAAGGCAGGGGGAGAGTTGGCAGGGTGTCATGAGGCAGGGGAGAGTTTGCAGGGTGTCATGAGACGAGAGTTGGCAGGGGGAGAGTTAGCAAGGAGCTCATAATTGGTGAATCTTTTCCGCATATATTATATTTTCTTTATTTCTAAGTCACAATAGAGTGTTGAAATGATTTTTACACAACTTTTATAATTTCATTTCATGTAATAATGGCACCATGCATTAATTACCCTCTCCCCCCTCACTCCCTAAGGCCGGGAGGGGAGAGGTAAAGACCATAGAGACCCATGCAGCCAGTATAATGGAAGTTTTCAGATGCAGTACACAATCTCCTTTGCACTCTATTCCACCCATAGCGCAATCCGTGGAGGGGCGCGTTGTTTAAACCCTCGTACTGTAGTTTAAGGGATATGTGTACATATAGCTATTTAATTATACTAGGCATATATGTATTATATTTTGCACACTTCGAAAACCGGCATAAAAAACTCACGCATTTTGCTTTTTCGCGAGGTCCATTTTACCTAACCTTCGTGAGCTTTAAGGAATACTGTATTAATCTGATTACCATGTCCCTGCTGTAAATAAAAACAATAATCATAAGCATACACAGTAATTTTTCATAAGAATTTTCTTTCAAATTATTTCCTTCAACAATACCTGTACATCATGTTTTATTTACTTTCTCATTTTTTACAGAATAATACTGTATATATATATATATATATATATATATATATATATATATATATATATATATATATATATATATATATATATATATATATATATATATATATATATATATATATATATATATATATATATACATTCAATCCTCACATTACGCGGTCCCGCATTCCGTGTTTCACCGTTAACGCGGTGCCTTGCCAGAACCTAACATGCTCACATTCCGCGGTTGTGAACGCCATTACGCGGAGAGTGTCCGGCGCGACGCTATTTTTAGATTTGCCCCACGCGCCACCCACCCGCCCGCCTGCCTGCCTCTCCCTCCTCCTCCCTCCTCCTCCCTCCGCTTGGGCAAGCTGCGCGGTAAGGTTGTGCAGTGTGTGTCTTTGTTGCGTTATCACTGACGTCATATGACGTATCAGACCTGTGATTGGCCATGCATCCCTACCCCCCTCTGCTGCTAGCTGTAATTGGCTTAAAGTATTATGACGTGTCCACCCGGGGGAGGGAGGGAGGGAGGAAAGACGACGCTTGACCTAGCCGCGGCAGTTTCATCCTTCCAGGCCACTCCGTGTAAACGCGCATCCATTGTTCCGTAAAATGGCTTCCGCCGGACCACCACCCCCAGAGAAAAACCTTTCCTTACCTGGACCCAGCGGCACTAAACCAAAGAAGACACGACGTTCCTTAAGCTACGAGGTGAAGTATAGCATCATCCAAGAGTTGGAGAAAGGAACAAGGCAGGTTGATTTGGCGCGCCAGCATGGCGTGAACGAATCTACGATCCGGACTATAAAGAAGGATTCAGCCAAGATAAAGGAGCACATGAAGATCACAAAGTCTACAGGTGCTTCTATGATCAAGTATTTTCACAACCAGGTGCTTCTCAAGACAGAAAAATTACTTGTGAGGTACTTGGTGCGTCAGGCGCGACGGAACATGGCGGTCGACACGCGCTCTGTGAAGGACTACGCACGTGAACTGTACATGGCAGTGGCACGAAAGATGGGAACTTCAGAGCCCAAACCCTTTACTGCTTCCTCTGGGTGGTTACAGAGGTTTAAGATCCGGAACAAGATCACCAATATAAACATTGGTGGTGAAGAAGCGAGTGCTGATCGTGCTGCGGCTCGGGAATTTCCTCCGTTTTTACGTGAGATTATGGAGGAAGGACAGTACAGTGACGACCAGGTGTTTAACATGGACGAATCTGGTCTTTTCTGGAAAAAACTACCTTCCAAGTCCTTCGTTGTGAAGAATGCCAGCAGGATTCGGGGCCGGAAAATGCAGAAGGAACGCATCACCGTCCTGTTTACCACCAATGCCTCCGGTACCTGTAAGCTCAAGTTATCGGTGATCCACACAGCCCGCAAGCCGCACGCCTACAAGAGCATGGACATGACCAAGCTAAATGTCCACTGGCTGACAGCACGTAAGGCATGGATGTTCTCTACACTGTCCCTCTCCTGGTTTGATGACTGTTTTGTTCCCGATGTAAAGAAATTCTGTGAGCAACAGAATGTCCCATTTAATATTTTGTTGCTGCTGGACAACGCACCAGGACACTCGCCCCTACTGTTAGATCGTCACCCCAACGTAAAAGTGGTCTTCCTTCCTCCCAACACTACGTCTATATTACAGCCCATGGACCAGGAGTTGATTTGCAATGTGAAAGCTGCATTCTCAACAAAAAAATTCCAGCTCCTGAACGACTACACCAACACCAGGGAAGAGTTGCGTGACCTGAGTGACACCACCACCGATAGCAAGAGCGACGAAGATGAGGAACAACGGTTAGAACAGCAAAAAATACTCTTCAAACAATTCTGGAGAGTATTTAACATCAAGAAAGCTGTGGACATCTTGGTGGAGTCATGGGATCAGCTGTCTATTGCTACAATTCGTCACGCATGGAGACATGTGTTGCATGGAATACCAGGTGAGAGGAGGAGTCAATCTGTGACTGGTGAGGTTCAGACTGTTGCAGTAGCAGTGGACCTTGCCAGAGAAGCTGCGCAGACTGTTACAGTTCCAGGCTTCTCCGAGACCACCAACGACGACATCCTGGAGGTGATCAGAAATCCTGAAGTGACTGCCGACGAGATGTTGGAAGAAGAACACGTCAGTGAAGAGGAGGAAGAAGGTGCGGCAGTCTCCGAAGAACACAATTTAAGTCATAGTGATATTAAGGGTGCCATGGAGTGTGCAGAGAAGATGAAGTCCTTCCTTTCCCGCGACAATGACGATGACCGCTATGAAGTCTTCCATAACCGGCTGGTGCAGGCTATGGAGCCGTACATCAAGGTGTATCACGACAACATCAACGCCAGCCGTCAGCAAAGCATAACAGATTTCTTCACCCGCAACCCACCACAGCCAGCCCAAGCCAGTGATAGTGACAGTGAAGTTGACTTTGAGGGATTTGTCAGGGAAGCCCTGACAACTGTAAGTGACAGTGATGATGATTCACCTAGTAATGGTGATTCACCTGAGGGCCAGTAATCTGCCCTCTGCCTCGGAACCAGCCTCCATCCCCGTATGCCGACCCATCTCTTCTACTACCGTAAGTGTTCCACATAATTTTTAGTTTTCTAACCTTACCTTTATTTTTCCTATGTTAACCTTTATCTTTCCTAACCTAACCTCTTCTATATTACTTGTTTTTTCATACCATCATAAAGTTAAGATAAAATTTTTACTGCAACATAGTTATGTGTCGTCAAAAAGTGGAGTTTGGGGATCAGCCTGGACTCCATTTCAATTAATCCCATATGTTATGTTGTTCACTTTACGCGTTCCTCACTTTCCGCGGTACCCTCCGGGTTACATTAACCGCGTAATGTGAGACCCAACAAGCGAAAACATGTTGAGATCGGTTCGTAAGAAATTCGTTAACTGAATTTTTTTTCGTTAACCGAATTGAAGATCCTTATGGAAGGCAGTTCGTGAACCAAAATTTCGTTAAACGAGGCGTTCGTTAAACGAGGGGTCACTGTATATACAGTGGGGTATGCTATAACGAATCTAATTGGTTCTAGAACCTTGTTCGTTATAGCATTCGTTCGTTATAGGATTAATCCGTTCCAGGCCCCCAAATACAACCACTTAACACTGAAAAATATAATATAAAATTGTAAAAATTGTAAAAAAGTGCATAAATATGCATCTAAACCCCTGAAATAATGAGTATCATTACTACTTGTAATAAAAAAACAATAAATTAGTAAAAAAAAAAAAATAAATAAAATAAATAAATAAATAAATAATGTTCGTTGTAGGAGTTTCGTTCGTTATAGCATTCTCAATTTTATAGGTAAAACCGTTCGTTATAGGAATATTCGTAGTAGGATCCGTTCGTTATAGCATACCCCACTGTAGTTTATTTTATACTCATCTGGGACTAAATGGAAAATCTGCAAATATATATTGTTAAAATGTAAGGAGCAGAACAAGCCCTCATTCAGACACTACTGTTATTAGTGTACTATTTTTACCTCTTCTTTCAAGCTTAACCGCCTGAAATGGTGAGTAAATACAAAGGTTTTTTACTGTAACATTTAATGTCACAACCACTGGGTTGGCCATAATGGTTTTCGTGCATCAACCCCAGTTTATTCTCATCCGGACCTTCTACCAAATAAAGTCTCACTGCTCAATTTAACCAATGGATTTGAAGATAACTTCACCAACTATGTTCATTTAGCACTATTTAAATTGTTTTGGTCTTGCCATTGAGTCTATGGTGCTGGTCAAGTGGTAATATGTAATTTTGTATTTTGCATTTTGTATTTTTATCCTCTTCGCCACTGATCAGCTCGTTAGCCACTTAGATGGTCAGCCACGTCTCTGATACGCACTGTTGGCAAGTACTGGGCATGCACTGGCTGGTCAAGTCTGGTTTTGAAAGAGCTCACACTGTGTCGTCACAACACTCTCTGGCAGGTTGTTCCAAGAGTTCATAATTCTCATTCTGAAAAAGTTTGCCCTCACAGTTTTCTGGGCTTGTGGCTTCTTCAACCTTGAGCTGTGACCCTTTGTGGGGCAGGCATCTGCCAGCTCCAGGTATGGACACTCGACTGAGTAGTACCCTTTGAGATGTTTATACACCTCAATTAGGTCACCCCTTGCCCGTCTGTAGTTTAAGCTAGGCAATTGCAGGCGCTCGAAACTCTCTGGATAACTGAGGTGCCGGAGTGTAGGCACCAGTCTCGTGGCCCTCCTTTGGACATTTTCAATCAACTGACAGTCCCTAGCATATCTCAGGACCAGACAGGGTGACAGTACTCCGAACGGGAAAGCACCTCATTCTTGAAGATCATTAAGAGGGACGGACTGTCTAAATATCTGAACAACCTGGCATCGTCAGTAACCATTTGTATGGAGGAGTGAATAGCTTCCACATGTCATTTATGAAAAAACAAACCACAACGGGCCCAATACACTGCCCTATGGTACCCCGCTTGTCACGGGTACACATGACAATTTCGTACCATTAATCACCACACACTGCTTGCGGTCATGCAGAAAGTCTCCAATCCATGCAAGGACACTTCTACGAATCCCGTACCCTTGCAGTTTAATTCTCTGCGTTTCATGGGGTACGCTGTCGAAAGCCTTGGCAAAATCCAGGTATATGTTGTTGATATTGCCACCCTGTTCCAGAAACTGGGGACCAAACATCCAGTATCTTGAGTACGGAATTGTGTTAAGCTGGAGCGTCCCGGCACTCCTTTACAAGGTTGTTACGTAGTAGATTTTCCATCATGGCATCTCTTATAATGCTTTCAAGTACTTTACACACAATGCTGGTCAGGCTCGCTGGTCTATATTATTTGTGGAGTAACGATCGCCATTCTTTAATACAGGACTCGCATAAGTTATTTTCCAGACTCTGTACAGTATTGTACTTGATTTTATGTTGCAAGTATTGATTGCGGTTTGTAAACATTTCATTTTGATTATACTCACAACTGATGAGCCAACTGGGAACAGGCAACACCTGGTTTGTGTTAAGCCATGATCTGATTTCAAATTGTGTATTCTTTCTCTGTTTACTAGAGACTTAGTGTTTAGGTGCTGTATCAGCACTACCCTTATCAGGTTGTCAGGCCTATAGGATCCACTTTTCAATCCAGTTTGTCTTTTGATGGTTTTTGTTTCTCAGGTTCACTAGGGTCAAACATGGAATAAGTAAGAAGTGCTCTGATGTGTATTGAAATAGAATTACAGTACCTGTACATGAATTTCTTTTCAGAGATGGTTGTTTTAGGATGCAATGAATCTGAATGATTCATATAAGGTTTTAGCGGAATCATTCGGGGATCTTCTAATTGGTAATATTGTTTAATTTAAGTTGGGTAAAGGTGTACAAAAAACTTACTCCAGGAATGCATCCTCCAATTTCCTTGGGGAAAATGGGTCCTGTTGACATCAGTCCTATATACAGTACGTGTGTTGCATTTTCTAGGAACACATCCCAACATAAATCGGTGACTTGATGTATAAGAACCTTGAAGCTCATTTTGTCAAGGTTGTCACTAGAACTATTTGCAATGCCATATATAAAATGGCATTTGCCATTGATCTCTTTCATTGGGATTTAAGGATTTTTGCTGATTCTCTATTTAGAGACCTTTTAGATCCTTTTAGTTACTTGGTTTGAAACATGTTCTTAGATTCCCTGATTTTAGTTGAACATTTGTGCTTAAACAAGTTGGAATTTGCATGTATCAAGGTACAGTAATTTCCATTTCTCTTGGGGTCAGGTGAAGGAGAGTTTTAGAGGTAGTACTTTCTTTGAGGTGAGGACTGTAGTTCATTTCTTTTGAACTTTCTGTTCATTGGAAGAGTTTTAAACTGAGTCTCCAGTTCTTCCTTGAGAATGAGACTCTAAACTAAAGTTATTAGTGCTTAATTTACGCAATCATGGTGAGAAAGGAAAACTGATCAGGCAATGGCAAAAATGGGTTTTCTTAGAGTTAGCCAGGACAAAGATCACATAAAGAAGAGGAGTGTCCTTGTATTTGACCTCTTCTCAGTTCATTAAGTGCACATCCTCACCTCTTAGGAATCTAGAATACAGGAGATAACAGATCAAGAATTGTTTGGAATGGCAGGAAGGAGAGTGTCAGGACTATAGGGGCTAAAAGATAGAAAGCTGCTGAGGTTGGCTAAGATTGCTCACTCCACTGCACTATGTAGAGGCTGTAACTGGGCACCTATGCTCCATGTGTATGAGTGAAAGTGGCATGTGAGTCACACTGCAATTCAAATTTCTAGCCGTTTAACCTGAGCTTACCTTATTAGGAGGGTGCTTGAAATTTAAACTTTGTAATTTTGTTTGAAGTTCAGTCTATTGAGGGTTTACTTTACTTTTATCATCTTCACCACTGATCGGCTCGTTAGCCGCTTGGGCGATCGGTCACGTCTCTGATTACTTTTACTTTTTTTTTATCCTCTTCACCAAAAGATCGGCTCGTTAGCCGCTTGGGTGATCGGTCACGTCTCTGTTACGCACTGTTGGCAAGTACTGGGCATGCCCCGGCTCCTGAATGTACCTGAACCCGCTCCAGTGTTGGTCAAGTCTTGTCTTGAAAGAGCTCACCCTCAGTGCCGTCACAACACTTTCTGGTAGATTGTTCCAAGAGTTTACAACCCTCACTCTGAAAAAGTTTGCCCTCACAGTTTTCTGGACTTGTGGCTTCTTCAATCTTGAGCTCTGACCCTTTGTGGGGTGAGCGTCCGCCAGCTCCAAGTAAGGACACTCGACTGAGTAGTGTCCCTTGAGATGCTTATACACCTCAATTAAGTCACCCTACCAAAACAGAAAACATACTTGTGTCTACTAATGGTACCAACTCTGGATATTTATTATAGGGGAACTAGAACTTTAGTTCAGTGTGAATATCTCTGCAGGGAGGCCTTACAGCACAGTACAGTACTGTACTATAATGTATTTGTAAAATGTGCTTCATATACAGACCTAATTTTCATAAATGATACACATCAGTTTTAGAGTTAAGGTAATTGCATGTCTATAATTTCACCAGTGTTATATACAGTTCCAGAACATAAATTATTTCTCTGAATGTAATAAGAGGGACAGGGTATTTGTTTTTTATGCACAATATTGAAATATCAAATGGGAAACTAGGAATTTGTGTAATTTGTATGTATTTTTTCTTTCTGTATTATATTAGTTATGACTGATCTGAAATTTTATTCTCATTCTAGGAATAATTCTCCAGTTTTCATTTTTGGTGGTGTTTTTTTGGCTGAATGTGATATGTTTCGACATATGGCGAGTTATCAGGTGAGTTGATGGAAGCTGAGTTAATACGATATTGATCAAAACTTTCTTGTGTTAATTTTCATTATTGTTACTACAGTATCAGTAAATTTTATGCTGTCTTGCTATAATGGAATCATTCTCCCACACTTGATTCTTATTTCTCTTAAGCTTTTATCCTAATCACAACCACGAGAAACCTGAAAAGGGTACAGATTTAGAAATACAGAAACAAAATTAATAAACAAGTACAGTAAGCTGTATTAATTCCACTTGCAGTACAAGTACAGTATTAGTATTCAGTAGGTCTTGCATTTGTATGTACTTACTAAAGTCATCCGGTACTAAGTGGTTAGAACACCAGTGAGTCCGCTTTACTGAACCCAGGAGAGCGTAATGGTGTCTTGCTGGCATCCTAAGCCTTCAGTCAACAGCCATGCCAACACTCATTCATACCTCTCACAAGTGAATCCTGGCTTCAATCCTTGGGTAAGGAGAATGGTAGAGCAGTGTATTGGGCCCGCTTTTGTTTGTTTGTTACATAAATGACATGCCTGACGTTATACATTCCTCCATACAAATGTTTGCCGATGACGCCAAGTTATTTCGAGAAATCAAGAACTATGCGGACAGTGAAGAGCTGTAGAAGGATCTCTGTGAGCTCCAAGAATGGTCGAAGAAATGGCTGCTGAGATTCAATGTCACGAAGTGTAAGAGGATGCACCTGGGGCGTACCAACTGTAAGGAGGCGTATCATATGTCCCAACGCGATGAAGAAACTGCATTATTTGAGACGGAATGTGAGAAGGACCTAGGTGTGTATGTTGACAATGAGCTGAAGTTCTCGGGCCATTGCGAGAAGAATGTAAATCAGGAAAATAAATTATTGGGTCTTATAAAAAGGTCCTTCAGATATCTAGATGGTCCGTCCCTCGTAACGATCTTCAAAAGTGAAATGCTTCCCTATCTGGAGTACTGTCACCACGTCTGGTCCCCGAGATATGCTATGGAATGTCAGTTGGTTGAAAATGTTCAAAGGAGGGCCACCAAACTGGTGCCTGCCCTTCGGCACCTCAACTACCCTGAGAGATTGGAGCGCCTGAACTTGCCAAGCTTATACTACAGACGGGCAAGGGGCGACCTAATTGAGGTGTATAAGCATCTCAAGGGGCATTACTCAGTTGAGTGTCCTTACTTGGAGCTGGCGGACGCTCTCCCCACAAGGGGTCACAACTCAAGATTGAAGAAGCCGCAGGTCCAAAAAACTGTGAGGGCAAACTTTTTCGGAGTGAGAGTTGTGAAATCTTGGAACAATCTTCCAGAAAGTGTTGTGACGGCACCGAGTGTGAGCTCTTTCAAGACCAGACTTGACCAACACTGGAGCAGGTTCAGGTACATTCAGGAGCCGGTGCATGCCCAGTACTTGCCAACAGTGCGTAACAGAGACGTGACCGATCGCCCAAGCGGCTAACGAGCCGATCAGTGGTGAAGAGGATAAAAGTAAAAGGTATCTAATGTGACTACTGTATCACTAACAATGAAGAACAGACTCACCAAGAACAATAAGGGGGATTAAATAAGCCACTGGCTTCATTTTCCCCTTCAGAGTGGTAAATTAGAAACTATGTATAGTCAAAGATACTGTACTGAGGAAGAGTTTTTCTTCAGTGAATTGTAAAAATTATGTAGAAAATAGATTATAAAAAAATCTGATGAGATTGTGAGGTCAACTATTTCATCCTTAGGATTACTTGAGGTTTGCAAGTTCTCTCAGAATACCTTGGCTCCTGAGTTTTAACGAGTAAGTTCTATTGGGTGAACCCAGTATCATCATGCCATGATTGCATATGTTTTTTGTTTTTTTTCTTAAAAAAAAATAAAATGTCAGAAATTATGTTAAACTTTGAGATTAGCTTAGAGTAAAGCTTTTGCAAGATAGTATAAATTTTGTATTTATTTTTTGTTGAGTAATTTACTTAGGAATGTTCATGTACTGTAGCTTGTGAGTAAACAGGATTGAACAGGACTTGTTCATCTGTCTTGCTGACTACCACTCATAAGGAACAGGGACTGTCAGTTGATTGAAAATATCCAAAGGAAGGCCAGCAGAATGGTGCCTGCACTTCAGCACCTGAGCCACCCAGAGAAATTAGAGCGCCTGCAATTGCCTATCTTATACTATAGACGGGCAAGGGGGGCCTGATTGAAGTGGATAAACATCTCAAAGGGCACTTCTCAGTTGAGTGTCCATACTGTACCTGGAGCTGACGGATGCCTGCCTCACAAGGGGTCACAACTCAAGGTTGAAGAAGCTGTAAGTTCAGAAAACTGTGAGGGCAAACTTTTTCGGAGTGAGAGTTGTGAACTCTTGGAACAAGCTGCCAAAGAGTGTTATGATGGCACCAAATGTGAGCTCCTTCAAGACCAGACTTACAAGCACTGGAGCAGGTTCAAATACATTCAGGAGCCAGTGCATGCCCAGTACATGCCAACAGTGCATAACAGAGACGTGACTGATCGCCCAAGCGGCTAACGAGCTGATCAGTGGTGAAGAGGATAAAAGTAAAAAAGATATAGGATGAGGTGTTGCCATTATTATACATTTACAGTACAGTACTCTACTATACATTTTTATTTAATGATTATATTGTAAATATTTCTTCTTACCGTTTCTTTTTTTACTTTTTATACTTTTTATCATTATTCTTATTGTTTCTTTTTCTTCTTCTTACTGTTTCTTCTTCCTACTATATTTATTTTTCTTCTTACTCTTTCTTCCACTTTCTGTTCTTAATTTTTCTATTTCTTCTCTTTCTTAGTTTCTTCAGGGATCTTTTACTTGAAGGGTGCTTGCAGGAGCCATTGTCTGTAGCAAAAACTGAAGTAAAGTGAAATGGTAGAAGAGATATTTACACAGAGCAAGCTCAGACTGCACTTTGGTGTCCAAGATATTTTTCCATGATGTAGTATGTGCAGGAAAGACAAATAATGTTGTGCACCAATGTATGTACAATCAATAAAAAAAAGTCCTGTGGCCTCTTCTGCTTTTCCCTGAGCCCCGAGATTAAAACTTATGAATCCAAAGCAGTAAACACTGATGCATTAATCCTTAAACACTGGATGATGTTCCTGAACATTAGCCTAGGTAACCCCAGGTGATGTTTTTGAACGTTCTTCTAATTTTTGCGGCATGTTTTGAATGTCCAGACAGGAGGAAATACCTTGTATGGGATATTTGTGTAGTTAACAACTCAATTCACATGTATTTGTCTCGAGATTCGTGCCTCATGGTCAGTTACCCACCAGATATTGTGAGGAATGTACATCCTTAGACCTCTCTTATGTCCCACCTCACTCCTCCACACCTAAGCACAAGTGAAGGCATTTGCTTGACAATAGTGCTGTTCGTCAAGAGTTGCTTTGCTTGATTTGAGTAGCATTGATATACTTTAATATTGGGTGATGAAGACAGTGATGGGGAGGAAACAGAACCTAAATGATGTCGAGTTTGCTGAGGTGGTGAGGACAGTTGGGCTACAGACTGGTACTCCCTCCACCTCCCCACCCCACCAGCCACCATGAACCACAGCACAAAGATATGGTGACTTGGTGCAAGGAATGTGGAGTTGTCTTTTGCATTCCATTTTAAAAAGACTTCCACACAATCAAGAAGTTATAAATTCAGTATAAGTACATGTAAATAAGGTATATACCGTATTTGAAAATACAGTAGTGATAAGTTTATGCCGCCTAAATATTCCTACTGTACAGTATTTTATAGTTCTTTTGAGGAAAATAGAAATATTTTGTTTCATAGTAGCTATAAGATAGAAATATGATATAAAAGGGCCTTCAAGTAAGAACTGTGTGTTGCAAGTGCATATCAAATTCATTTCCCGCTCACTGTGGACTGTGCGCAGTAGCTTTATACAATACATCTTACATCATTCGATATTGCTCATCAACACTCCAGACAACTCCCCAACCATGCTACAATGAAAGTTGAATGTAAGTTCATTCCTCTGGTACTTTTCTTATATTGGTTAACCCATCTATAAGGTGACAATGAATTTAAAAAAAAAGAGTGTTTTTTACCGAAATATACCTACATGGGGGGTTCAGCGGGTCTGAAGACACCTGGGGTCTAAGGGTTAATCCGTCCACAAATGCTTAGGATTCATGAGGCTGAATCTCGGGGTTTGTGGTTCTGGAGGAGAGGTGACAGGACTGGTTTGGGTGACTATACATTAAATTCTAGCCTGGCATAAACAATTTAAGGAGAGTGAACAGTAAACTATGCAACTGTGAATCCAGTTCTTGTGAAACCATCATAAACAAGGGTGGCCTTATTTGGTTTATCTGCCTGCTTCCAATAGGATGTATAATTTTTTAGAATGAATGGTTTTAATAGGTGACTGTAGCTAATGATACTGTATTTATTGCAGAGCCACTGTACAATGCATTCCTTTAACTGGTATCTTGGCCAGTGATGCTAAGAAATTCAAATTATACTGTGTATATGCCTGGGGTGGACCTTTGGCTATTACCATAGTGTCTATAGTACTGGATAATCTCCCAGATGAACCACACTTCAAAGGTCTCATTCGCCCAGGGTTTGGGCTCGTGTCATGTTGGTTTTCAGGTAAGTTCTGTATTGTCATTATGAAATACATACCTGGTATAGGATGCAGGATCGCACCCCCCAAAAATATGTCCCAGAACATATCCCCCCTCACCCCCCAAAGAAAATTTTTGGACCCCAAATTGCCTTTGATAATGACAATGAGAAATATAAGAACAGAAACTTATGGTAATAGTTAACAAGTATGCAATACGAATGTTGTCAAAGATAAAGGAAAAGTGTTAGTTTAGATGTGAAAATGGGTGTGTTAAGGCCTTTCAAAAAATGGGAATGAGTTGTGATTGATAGTACTAGAACCCTACGTTTGACATTTAGCATAATGTAAAGCTGTACTTGAACACTTGAAGTTAATTTTGCATTTTTCTATGTTTAAGATCATTTCTGACATTTTCATATTTTTTTCCCCTTGTTAAAAAATCTATAATAGCTTCATTTGAAATTAGTCTTGATGTTTGTTAACATTTAACCCTTTGAGGACAGTGATGGCAACTCGTGGTCATTACCCACTGGTTGAAGGAATATCAACAAATATACAGATTTGAATCTTACAATAAACTCCTGATTTACACCAACAAAGTTCAGGGGTCGAAAGAATAAATAATTGCTCCAACCCTATGTGGGAACTGCCTGGGTGGACACAATGACTTGTGGAAGCTTCCCCACCACCACCAGTATATTCCTCATCATGGTCACTCAAATTTCCTAAGATTCATTATTTTCACAAGTGAAATTTTGAGGAAAGTCACTTATATCACTCTCACTGTGCATGTAAGGGTCATCCTTGTCGGCAGAATCAAATATAATAGCATCAATTTCCTCCTGTGTGCATCTTGACTCACCCATGGTCAATCCATTACTAATGGGTAAGATCAAGATGTCTACACCATCTCAGGGCAGTTGCCGTTAGTCTCCACAAATATGCTTAGCAAATAAAATACGGGAAATTTATATTGGATACTTGAGAAATGTACAGGAGGTCCCCAACTTACGAACACCCGCCTATACGAATGGGGTTAAACTTTAAATTTACATCACTTTATTTACCTGGTGAACTATTTTTTACTTTCATTTGCTGTATTTTGTCATTCCATATCTTCTTTTTCCTCAAATTACATAATTTTAGATATACTGTACTTAAGCTATGATATAGTACGATTTAAAAAATTGCTCTGTAAGTACGGTAAGAACATTGCATGTGTTCCGACTTACGTACATTTCTGACTTAAGAACGTCCTTAGGAATGGAACCCGTTCATAACCTGGAGACCCCGTGTACTGTATCTCAATTGTTGGGCTCCATCCTGGAACTGTTGTGGGTTATGTATGCCAGGGGCTATTTTTATTTATTTATTTTTTTTTTTTTATTTATTTTTTTTTTTTTTAATATTTCATTCAAAGCAAATCCCACCATTTCTTAATGTTTAACATCATTCTTGATATACATGACATTCAAGCTAGAATTTGGTTTTGATAACGTCTCTGCTCTTAGTAGTAAACCCGCCCCCCTCCCATTCTCAGAGGCTGTCGCATTTGCTAAGTACACTGAATTTTGCAGGGTGTGGTTAGAAATGTCATTGTTTACAAGGCGCTCGCCTCCTTCCAGCTGATAGACGGAGCTGGTGCCACCTCCCGGGCGAGTGGAGGGTGCGCCGCTGTCCCCCGGCCCTGTGTCGGCACACTTGCTTCCACCACTCTCTCCCTGAATAAATCTCATGTACACCAGTCCCCGCTCCTCCTCGACTCCTCTCTTCTCTGCTTCAAGCCCTGCAGGAGCTTCCTGTGCTGTTCCCTCTGCATTACTGTGCGATTTGGGTGAATGAATACACTCCGAAATGCCTTGCTAAGTTTTTTGCCTGCCGAATAACCTCCCATTTCTCCTCCTCACTCACTAGTGTGATCCTGAGGGGGCGAGGCTTGTCCCCCTGCTTTTGTCCCAGCCTCCTCACAACCTGAGGGGTTGATGGCATCTTCAGAACCTCTGTACAAATACTGTATTCTTAAACTGCATCTTATCATGTGTTATCTTACTCTCAGTTCCCTCCGCCTGGCTCTCAGGGACTCCAAAAACTATTACATTGTTCCCGCGCTGGAAACGTTCCCGTTGTTCCTCCTCTACCCTAACAGTAGGGTCCGTTAATTTTAATTTCTTTGACACACTTCTTCAGAGTCCCTAGCTGCTGTAGAAACTGTTCTGATCCTGAATTACTCTCCGCCACCTCCCGTGGCCCTGCTAATACCTCAGCATAACTCCTCTTAGTAACCACCTTCATTCTGTCGGCTACTTCCTCAGTCTTAGCAAGGATCTCTTTCCCAACTTGTTCTAGTTTGGCAAACAGCAAGGCTCCAGCTTCATTTATTTTCGTCCCTAGGGAACTTGTTCCCCTATGGCTTGCAATCTCCTCATTCACCTTGACTATGCAGTCAGGGCAATACCAGCAGCAGCCTTCATGCTTTATGGCAGTTTGCATCATCCTTAACGTTGCATTAGTCAGGCCTGTATCTTCCATATCCGACGTCCCCCTGCAGTAATCACATATCGTACTCATAGTTGTTGTTGTGGGGGGTGGGGGGAGGTGCAGACTGTGTATAGATCTACACATATTTAAAAATAAAGAGAAAAAAGAACAGTACTTAGCTGCCCTTTGCTGGTTTTAACTTCCCCTGTTGCCTTTAGAGTTGTCTTCTGGTTTTTTTTTTTTTCCAGTTCACTTCGGCATTTTTCGGTATTTATGTGCTATCTCTATGTACACTGCATTTTGCTATGAATAACGGATTTTACACACCCACTCAGTCCTTTAGACAAACATAAAAATAAAATAAAACTTTCTTTGGGGTGGTAATAGAATGCTTTTAAGGATAGCCAAGCTTGTTGATTTTATTTGTTTTTCTATTCTAACTAATATTTCCTTATACCTGTACTTTCTTTTCTTGTTCTCATCGACGACTATATCTCTTTGTGCTATCACTGTGTACACTGCGTCTCCCTGTGAATGGTGTATTGTAGGCACAGATTCAGTCCATGAGAAAGCACACAAACAAAATAAAATTTAATTTTCTGTGGCACCTATAACACGACTTGGTTTCAGCTGGCAGTGGTGCCTTTCCAGCTTGCTTGCCAATTTGTATTCACTTTAGGTTACTTACATTCTCTTCCGCAGTCACTGATAACACTATGAACTGATTTAACTAAAGGCACAGTACAGTAAAAGTCCAAAAATCCGGATGCCAGAAATCCGGACCACCCGAGAATCCGGACTTTTCGAAAACTCTTTTTTTTTTTTTTTAGCGGGCTTTTGTGTGTATGTGCACATGCGTGAGTGCCACAGCTGCATAGAAACAACAAGCGACCACGTGGTCGCCACTTTAAAACGAGCAATCAAACTGTGACAACATATGTAATTTTGAGTCCTACTCTTTCCATTTACCGAGTACTGTACAAGCCCATAATAATGGCTCCTAAAGTAGATAAACTTCGTTGTGTGAAGAGAAAGAAGAACACGTTGAAATTAAGTGACAAACTTGAAATAATTAAGAAACTAGAACGTGGTGTGATGCAATACTGTTCTAATGGAAACATACGACATTGGAAAGTCTACAATTTATGATATAAAAAAGGCAAAGAATAAAATTCTAGAATTCACAGCTTTTTCCTTAAAACTGCTCGTTTTGATAAATGAAGAATGCTACATTTGCTAATGAATAAACTATCAAAATGTACCTGTTCATCTCTTCTTTATTCTTCCTTAAATTTGAATTTTAAAAGTACTGCCTGAGAATCCGGAAAATCCGGACTGACCCAATCCCCAAGCAGTCCGGATTTTTGGACTTCTACTGTACTACACTCCCTGGTTGGCCTTTATCACAGCCGTGACCATAACTCCGTAAAAATATAAAATAAAACCTTTGTCATATGGCAATGATTTTGTGGTTGTAGGCCTCTTGACCTTGGCTGTATCTCCAACTCAGTGAAGAATTGAGTTTTCAAAAATACAATCACGTCTAGCATTATAAATCCTACATCGATTTACACTTTCACATCACTAAGACGATCTTGATGATCTTATGTAATCACTGTCCAATTTCTGCCGCTCAACAACGAAGGCCCGAATGCCGAACACGCTTTGTTACAGAGACGCAACACGACCCGACCCGCGCCTAACACCACCGGCACTCTAAAAAAGTGTACACTCACAATTTTCTGGACTTCTGGCTTCTTCAACCTTCAGCTGTGGCCCCTAGTGGGGTGGGTGTCTGCCGAGTTGTTTATAAAGTTCAATTAAGTCCCCCCTTGCCCATCTATAATATAAATTAAGCAATTGCAGGCATTCTAACCTCTCTGGGTAATTGAGGTGCCATAGTGTAGGCACCAGTCTCGTGGCCCTCCTTTGGACATTTTCAATCAACTGACAGTCACTAGCATATCTTAGGGACCAGACAGGGTGACAGTACTCTAAGCGAGGAATACTGTACCCTAAAGTATTATGAGCAAAAAGAAAGTAAAATAGATGCTGCTGGTGCTTCTGCTGGCAATAAGAAAAGACATTTTTACTTTTGATGAATAAATTACAATAATACAGTACCCTCTACTTCCCCTGAATAATTTGTTTTCATCTGTAACTCTACCTCTAGTCCAGTATGCAAGTGCAAACAATAATCCAGTGTAAAAAGCCAAGATGTAACACAATATATTCTTACTGTAGAATTCATTCTAGAGGTAAAATTAGCATGTGTTCTTGGCAAGAAAATTATAAAATTTGGGAGAGAATATCCAGGAACATATCTCAAACATACTACTACTGCATCAAAATTACCATTAATTTAATGTTACAGTATACATAATACAAATACAGTGTACAGTAATTACATTCCTAGGATTATTTCTTTGACATCTTTCTCCTATAAATGGTACTGTATTTCACTTTTAAAACAGTGAAACCTTCATATAATGGACTTCTCTCTTCACATAATCTGTTAGAAGGGGGGTTCACATCTAATGGACCC